ATCATAAAATATGTAGTTATTATGCTCGATTTATATACAAATGGGATCAGGAGATTTACAGCTCAATATTTCAGTTGAATAAAATATTCAAGTGGTCAAATTTTTAACATACACTCTTAAAGACACACTAGATTGTACAGAGAGAATACAAAAAATTTGAATAAAACATTAGACGGTAGTCAACAATATATATGCAAACAAATTTTTTATCGTCATTACTATATATAATTTCAGAACAAAGTAAGAAAAACGTTCTTTTTACTATTGAATGTCTTATTCAGTAAATATCCGTCACTTGTAGTTGACAGGATTCCTATAACTGTCATCTATATTCTTCTCTTTATATAATTAATTTTTTAAATTTTTTTTTTAGTAAAACTATTTTTGTCGGGTGTGGGTGTGGGTGTGGGTGTGGTCTATGAAGAAGATAATACCCACATTCACCTTAGTGGTGTGGGTGTGGGATGAATTTAGCCCAAACTACCAAGTCCACGCCCGCACCCTAATTCATCCTGCTGAATAAACACAGTTTTTTTCTCTTTTTTCGTTACTTTAAATAACCTGTTGAATGCCCCTTTTTTTTCTGACCTAACACAGAAATACTCTACCTTTCTCAAACACAATAATTATAGATCGTTCAGATCTTTATATATAATACATGTATATTAATATGTATTGTTTACCTTACCGATGGGTGTTACGACCCACTTGTGTCTCAACAACATCAGAGTTTTTCTGTACGCGCGCGCATTTAAAACAATTCTTATCTCGTTTAAAAGGTTCATTTTTTCTCTTTCATAAAAACAAAATTCATAGCAATACAATTTATTATTTATTTTTTACACGTTCGAGGCTATTTCTATAATCTTGAAGATGAAGCTGGTTTGAAGGTAATGATTGTTGTGCAATTTGTATAGCATGTTCATAAAATATACGAGCTTTCGAGTAATCACCCATATTTTCATACACCAAACCAATATTGCTGTAGGACATATTCAAATCAGGATGGTTGGGAGAAAGTGATTGTTGTTGAATTTCAAGAGCTTTTTCATAATAAGAAAGTGCTTTCGGATAATTATCCGTATCGTAATGCACTGCACCAATGGAAATGTATGACTTAGCTAAATCGGGATGATTGGGTGGAAGTGATTGTTGTCGAATTTCAAGGGTTTTGTCAAGATAAGAAAGTGCTTTTAGATAATTACCCATTTTGGCATGCACGGTACCAATGTTATTGTAGGAAGAAGCCATATTAGGATGATTGGGAGGAAGTGATTGTTGTCGAATTTTAAGGGCTTCTTCATGAGATGAAAGTGCTTTCTGATAATTACCCATGCTGTCATGCACCAAACCAATGTTGTTATAGGAAGAAGCCAAATCAGGATGATTAAGAGGAAGTGATTGTTGATCAATCTCAAGAGTTTTCTCATAATAAGAAAGTGCTTTTGGATAATTACCGATGTTAGAATGCACCAAACCAATGTTATTGTAGGACTTAGCCAAATCAGGATGATTGGGAGGAAGAGTGTTTTGTTTGATAGCAAGTGATTTTTCATAGAGTGTAAGTGCCTCTTGATATTTTCCTTGATTTCTTTTGAGCATACCAAGTCGATGGTAAATAAGTGCCCTATCTTTATCATCATTTCTTTGATCAAGTAAAACTTGATAAATATCTTCAGCTTTGTCAAATTGACCCATCTCAAATAGCACCAAACCCAATCTGTACCATCCTTCTTCATCTGGAAAACTCTCCTCTCGAATGTAATCAGTAAGTCTGTTCAATTCTGGATCGTTGTCAGCAGTCAGTATCAAATTAACTTCATATAAACGATTTTTTCCTGCCATCTGTATAATATCCTGAATACGGAACACGCTATGCATCGAAAACAAGACTTCATCTTCTTCTTGGAAGTCACTAACACCTGAAATTGAAGCAAATGGTGTTGTTAATTGAGTAGGATTAATTGTCATGATAAACAGGACACCCACTTGATCTGGATTTATTATGGCAGTATGAGCAAAATTAAGTGATATATTGCGAACTTTACTAGTAGATAAAAAATTATTGAATGAAATAAGACCACCTTTGGTTTTCATCATTTGTTCGAAATCCCCTGTAGAAAAACCTTGACCGCGATAAACGGTAAATGTGTCTGCAACAGTCGAATCGGCATATTGTTTCTTGTGTAGTTGTTCAATTTGTTGATGGAGATCACCAATGAAGAAGCCCATATGTGTAATGATATCACCATCCATCATTCGTAATGCACGATTGAGCATGGGAAACAAGAACATTTGACAAGTATACCAATAAATTGGTGTTTTCTTGTGATATTCATCTTCTAATCGTTTAATATTAACCATTTCTTCTTTATTGTCGCCAAAAGCATCGCGACAGTAATTAAGATAATCTTGGATGTGCTTTTGGTTGAATTTGATGGTTAATATAATTTCTTTGAGGATCTGAGTATACATAAAAGAAGGATCTAATTGATCCAACTTTTTATTTGATCCCAC